GAATATTGTATGTAGACCAGGGCTAGACAGGTAAACATAAAGGTAACATTGTATGTACTGACCACGGCTAGACAGGTACACATACAGCGCATATTGTTTGTACCGACCACGGCTAGACAGGTAAACATACAGCGCATATTGTACATGTATGTACTGACCACGGCTAGACAGGTAAACATACAGCGAATATTGTATGTAGACCAGGGCTAGACAGGATAACAACGAATATTGTATGTAGACCAGGGCTAGACAGGTAAACATACAGCTAATATTGTATGTAGACCCCCGCTAGACAGGTTAACAACGAATATTGTATGTAGACCACCGCTAGACAGGTAAACAAACAGCGAATATTGTATGTACTGACCACGGCTAGGCAGGTAAACATACAGCGAATCTTGTACATGTATGTACTGACCACCGCTAGACAGGTAAACAAACAACTAACATTGTATGTACTGACTACGGCTAGACAGGTAAACATACACCGAATATTGTACATGTATGTACTGGCCACAGCTAGACAGGTTAATATATAGGGAATATTGAACATGTATGTACTGACCACGGCTAGACAGGTAAACATACAGCGAATATTGTACATGTATGTACTGACCACAGCTAGACAGGTTAATATATAGGGAATATTGTACATGTATGTACTGACCACGGCTAGACAGGTAAACATACAGCGCATATTGTACATGTACATGTATGTACTGACCACGGCTAGACAGGTAAACATTCAGAGAATATTGTATGTACTGGCCACGGCTAGACAGGAAAACATTCAGCGAATAGTGTATGTAGACCACGGCTAGACAGGTAAAAATTCAGCGAAAATTGTGTGCACTGACCACGGCTAGACAGGTAAACATACAGCGAATATTGTATGTACTGACCACGGCTAGACAGGTAAACATACAGCCAATATACTGTACACAAAACTCCAAAACTGTTAAGAATGAATAATAAGCTATAGTGTACAATAAACAGTATAATTTGTTTTGTTCGATCTAGCTGATGGTTATCATAGTAGCACATTTAGACTATGTTGATTCAGTTCCGGTTATCGTTATAGATTCGAGATGAAAGGAAATGACCGTCTTTCCGTGCCTATTACGTTACACTATATAGACATGGCAAATTCCGTTAAAACGTTGGTAATGGATCTTCTGACGGCGTTAAACATTCGTAAACAAAACGTTCATTAGATTGTACATGGTCGTGTATTCAGTAGTGACGCTGGGTTAAGGAATAACATATTGTATGTCCCCGGATAACACTCAAACCCCTGGAGAACTAGAACACTGACAGGTCAGTAAGGGACCCGTCTTGTGGCAATTATATCCCCCATAATCATCAAGAAGCAATCTGCCCATATAGCTGAGCTTGACGTTTGACATTTGGACTTCAAAAAGAATCACAAGGAAGCAAAGTATACATTTTACATGTACTATGATGTGATGTGTTTCCTTCCACCTCCATATTTGCTGGGCTAACAGAAATGTAATAACCGATGCAATACTCATTTGTTAGTTTTGATTTGTTTTATTTCACCTTATATACCTTCTCTGTGTTAAGTTCTGAACAACATTGCTTCATAATGTCATAACAAAATGTTCATCAGGGAAAAGGTACACAATTTTAACCTTGACCTTTCACCAAGTTACCTTGACCTTTGGTCAATTGACTCCTTGTTTAATTCTGAGCAACATTGCTTCAAAGTTTCATAGCGAAATGTTTACCAGTGAAAAGCTACAAAATGTAACCTTGACCTTTGACCCAATGACCTTGACCTTTGGTCAGTTGACTCGTTGTTTAATTCCGACCAACTTTGCTTCTTAATATCATAACAAAATGTTCATCAGTGAAAAATACAACACTTGACCTTGCTCCTTTGGACCCAGTAACCTGGAACTAAGGTCAGTTGACATTGTGTTAAGTTCTGAACAACATTGCTTCATAATGTCATAACAAAATGTTCATCAGGGAAAAGGTTCAAAATTTTAACCTTGACCTTTGACCAAGTGACCTTGACCTTTGGTCAGTTGACTCGTTGTTAAATTCTGATCAACCTTGTTTCATCATGTCATAACAAAATGTTCATCAGTGAAAAGATGCAAAATTTGATCTTGACCTTTGGATCTCATGACCTTGACCTTTGACCTTAACTTTTTAACTCAGTGTGTCTCTTTGTTTAATTCCGAACAACTTTGCTTCATAATGTCATAGCGAAATGTTCACTAGTGAAAAGCTACAAAATTTAACCTTGACCCCTGACCCGATGACCTTGAGTCAGCTGACTCCTTGTTTAATTCTGATCAACTTTGCTTCATAATTTCATAACAAAATGTTTATCAGTGAAAATATGTAAAATTTGACCTTGACCTTTGAACCTAATGACCTTGACGTTTGACCTTGACTTTTTACCTCAATGTGTATTTTTATGATCTGAACATCTTGACCAAGTTTCATGTACATCGGTCAATAAATACCAAAGTTATCAGCCAGGAACAAAATTTGTGGACGGACAGACAGACAGACAAGAGTGATTACTATAGGGTACCGTTTCTCCGATACGGGGCCCTAATAAAAGTACATACAGCACTGTTCTTTCTATTTCAGCCGTAAACATATGACCTTATTCCGAACTAGCGGAAGTGGAGCTAACGGAACTATAGTTCCGTGACAGCAACAATACTGAACACACATGTACACGATGCATTGGCAAGATATTGTGTGTTTTTACTTTTAATAAATATCAGATTTTGATTTGGCTTTCTAGTGTCAGTTTTCAGCATGAGGTTATGCTGTACAAAAAAAAATATTAACATAAAAAATATGAGTCACTTCATTTAAATTTATTCTTACCCATCATTACTGGAGCTCCAACAATCTCGAAATGCTTCTTCAATGCCTCTATATGGTCATATAGCAACGCACCGGAAGTGACGTGTATTATCTTACAGGGCACCTGCACACAATAAATTGTTCCATCCATTTGAGTATATCAACAGAACGCTTTCAGAAGAAAAACAAGCCTAGTAAAACATTCATTGGCTCTAAAGGAAAGCATGGTTTCACAAATTTGTACGATCATTTCGAATCTCTTCAAGATCGCGCCTAGCTCTATATAACAATCAAATCCAGCTGAGAATGTACGTACACTGAGCTGACCTGGCATTACAAACTGTACCCTCTCGACGAACGTCTCACTTACCTCCAATAAATAATCCATACATATCGAGACTTCAAAGCTGCCTATCCATTCTCTAGAACCCACAAAAGACGCCGCTTTGTCTCCCATAGCAACCAGAGCTTCCTGTATGTTCTTTAGAGATGGTACCACTGATGTTTTATCGTCCGTGCGTGTTCGCTGGTGAATTACCCAAGCACACATCGTCTGCAGAGGCCTGTATCCGCATCCCCAGCCCTGAGGTCAGAATTAGAATTAAATGTGGTTTTAAAACAGTCAGCGACAGCATCAGGTGAAAAGTAAAATATCAAATCAGTAATGTTTAAATGTCTTAGTTAGCATTTTAAACCTCTGAGGCTCCTTATTGAAAAAGATAGGGATATATGCTGATTTGTTACTTTTTCTTTGCAATATACACTGTAAGTTACGTATTGTTGTTTTTCAGGCTTAAATCTGCAGAAGTCTGAATTTTTAAGTAATCGCATAAATATCGAGAAACGATAGTTCTTGCCTGTGTGTATTCTTGATCTTCTAAAAGAAGAATTTAGAATTGCCCTGACGCTGTCACTGAACATATGGGTTTGTAATAGTTTCATAGCTTCTAAAATAGCAATGTAGAATAGTTCTGACCCTGTCGCTATAGCGAAATGGGTCTGTTTAAGTTCTATAGCTTCAAAAATATCAATGTATGTTTGCTCTGAACCTGTTACTGGCAATATAGGTTCGGAAAAGTTCCATAGTGTCTTAACCATGAACTAAGCATTGCCCTTACACTGTTGTACTCTGTAAAACAGACACCCCTGCTAACATGCTAGCTATGTCATCAATATATGGAGCACCTACAGCAAAATATTAAGGTAAGTCATCTTAACACAAAAAATCATTGATCAACAGGAGTATCTTATATTTCTTGAAAAGATATTTCAGAAAAATGCTGAAACTACATACTGATGTAAGGGAATTTAATTATTGTTGGTGATTGTATAGCATCATGTAAACCGACAGCAACAACACTACCAATACAACAGACCCATCCTGCTGACATGGACCAAGCGTCTATATATAGTCTATAAGTATTACCTTGAAAGGGTTTACCAATAATTAGCCCCCATTGCTACATTACAGTGTTCTCACGGCTACTTCAATCGGGAAATTACTACGATTTGTACATATTCTCTTCGGGTGGAGATCCCCGACCTAGGCAGCCATCCCACCCCGACCGAGGAACTATTTTGTCGATGTTACACCAGGAAAGATTTGGATACTTTGGTCCGTGGTAAGAGAAAGAGATCTCACGTTGGCGTCCCACAGGACACTTATATATACTACTCACGTTTTGCTAAGGATCACTTTTATTTTTGGGCATGTGTGAAAATAAATTTTATGTGGTTTAAACTGAGATTATATTTGAAAAATTGATTGTTCTTTTAATTCATCAGCATGCAAAAATACTTAAATTGAACAAAACTCATCTTAAATAGACAGAAACTGTTTAGCATCGAGTGTGACGCCAATGAGCACAAATTACAGCTTCACAACGTCTGCGCATGCCCCGAATGAGATCGCGTATCCGGTTTTGTGGGATAGCGTTCCACTCAGCTACCAAAGCTGTTTCCAGCTCCTGGAGCGTTATTGGCTGAACATTTCTGGCAGAGAGAGCTTTCTGAAGCATGTCCCACACATGCTCGATGGGATTTAGATCCGGCGAGAGGGCTGGCCCATCCATTCGTTGAATAGTCTCTTGCTGTAGTTACTGCTCAGTCACCCTTGCTCTATGTGGCCTAGCATTATCGTCCTTAAGAAGGAAGTCAGGGCCAATAGCGCCAGCGTAGGGTCTCACATAGTAATCAAGGATTTCATCGCAGTAAATCTGGCCGTAACGGTACCATTATGGAAGACGTGAAGGTCAGTTTTCCCACGAAGGCTTATGCCTCCCCACACCATCACTGAACCTCCGCCATATCAGTCATTTTCCACAACGTTTGTTTGTCTCCATACTCTAACGCGCCTGTCGGTGAAGTCGATACAGAAACTGGACTCGTCAGTAAAAAGAACCGGTTCCCATTCCTGAAGAGTCAAAGTGCTGTGAGCTTGGGCCCAATCTAATCGGTCCCTAACATGGCGGGCAGTTAAGGGAACTCGTATTGCTGGTCTACGTGACCTTAAACCAGCAGCATGAAGACGGTACCTAACTGTCTGAGTGGCTACCCGGGCACCAAAAGCATTTAGGTCATTTCGTAAATCTGTGACAGTCTGGAACATGTGACGCCGTGCCTGTATGAGCAGAAATAGTTTGGAAACGATTCCACATTCTTGCCACCACACTTTGAGACACCCAAGGTCTGCTGCAACCTGACTTTAAGAGATGCTAGCTTGCAGAATTCCGATGGCACTATTCATTTCAACGTCATTTAACCGTTGTCTGGTTCGTCTTTGTGACATATTAAAACAAGAACACGCCAAGAATATTCCCTTAACAATTTGAACAACGCCTTACTTAGCCTAGCTTAGCTTTTGAAAGTGGTGTACACGTCGAAAAGCGAGCACGCGCTTTTATGGTTGACTGAACACATCAACACAGGACGATTTTGAAGGGTAACATATTCGCCCAAAACAGTACGGAAGGAAAATAAAATATCCTTCCTAACATTTTGATGATTTTTGTTTCAAAATATAGGTGATCCTTAGCAAAATGTGAGTAGTACAATGTATATATGTAGAGGAGGGAGATATCACTTGGGCGTCCCACAGGACACTTGTATATGTAGAGGAGGGAGATATCACTTGGGCGTCCCACAGGACACTTGTATATGTAGAGGAGGGAGATATCACTTGGGCGTCCAACAGGACACTTGTATACATGTAGAGGAGGGGGATCTCACGTGGGCGTCCAACAGGGCACATTTATATATATGTAGATATGAGAGATGTAACGTGGGCGTCCCAGTCCCATAGGACACTTGTATACATGTAGAGGAGGGAGATCTCACGTGGGCGTCCAACAGGGCACACTTATATATATGTAGAGATGAGAGATCTCACGTGGGCGTCCCAGTCCCACAGGACACTGGTAAACATGTAGAGGAGGGAGATCTCACGTGCGCGTCCAACAGGACACTGGTATACATGTAGAGGAGGGAGATCTCACGTGGGCGTCCAACAGGGCACACTTATATATATGTAGAGATGAGAAATTTCACGTGGACGTCCCACAGTGAACACTTATATATGTAGAGGAGAGAGATCTCACGTGGGCGTCCCACAGGACACTTGTATATGTAGAGGATGGAGATATCACGTGGGCGTCCCACAGGACGATTGTATATGTAGAGAAGGGAGATCTCACGTGGGCGTCCCACAGGGCACACTTATATATGTAGAGGAGGGATATCTCACGTGAGCGTCACACAGGACACTCTCATATATGTAGAGGAGGGAGATCTCACGTGGGCGTCCCAAATGACACTTGTATATGTAGAGCAGGGATATCTCACGTGGGCGTCCCAAAGGACACTTGTATATGTAGAGGATGGAGATATCCTGTGGGCGTCCAACAGGACACACTTACATATGTGAAGGACGGAGATTTCACGTAGGCGTCCCACAGAACACTTGTAAATGTAGAGGAGAGAGATCTTGATCTTACCTAAACGTCTAACAGGACACACTTGTATATGTAGATGAGATAAATCTTACCTGGGCGTCCCATAGGACACCTGTATATGTAGAGGAGGGAGATCTAACATTGGCGTCCCACAGGACACATTTATATGTGAAGAGGAGGGAGATATCACGTTGGTGTCCACCAGGACACTTTTGTATATGAAGAGGAGATATCACGTGGGCGTCCCACAAGACATACTTGTATGTAGAGGATAGAGAGCTTACCTAGGCGTCACACAGGACACACTTATATATGCAGAGGAGAGAGATCTTACTAGAGCGTCCCATATTACACTTGTATATGTAGAGGAGGCAAATCTTACGTGGGCGTCCCACAGGACACATTTGTAGAGGAGGTAAATCTTACGTGGGCGTCCCACAGGACACATTTGTAGAGGAGGTAAATCTTACGTGGGCGTCCCACAGGACACATTTGTAGAGGAGGTAAATCTTACGTGGGCGTCCCACAGGACACATT